ATGCAAGTAGTGAAGGACTTGCATCTGAAGAAGTGAGGTTCTTACCCACGAAAGCTTATGCTCCCAGTACTTCTGTTAGTCTCAAAGGTGCCACAGGACCCTCTGTTGCTTTTCACATACTTAAAGATTGTATGACGTGTACAAGGGAGCCAAATGGGGACTGAACAGCTTAATTCTAGCATTTCCTAACATTCGAGTGCTTGACTTTCCATCCATAACATTATTTTAATGTAGTTTTTTTAAAAATGTAATGTCTTATATTTTTAAAAAGCAAATTGATTAAAATGGAAATTTTATTATGTGGAACCATACTGGGACAACAGCAGGGTTGGGTCCTTTAGACTCACAGCACAGACCTCTACCACTGAGGTAAGGTAACTGATAGCAGTAGCAGGCTGTTATCCTCCATATGGACCAGTCAGTACAACAGGATGAGATACACAGTGGTTTTTACAGCTATTGGCTAACAGCAGAGGAACGTAGGCACTCAGAGTACTTGGCTTCATTCCTATGTTCTTCCAGAGAGGAACATATAGACTCTTCTGCACCTGTGCCCTAACCTGTCCCTGACATCCCTCTCTGTTCCTATTCTCTCCCACCCCTGATTCCTGTCACTATTCCCTGTGCTCCCATCCCACCACCCCTTCTTCAGCTCCTGTCCTACCCCTATGCATTCCAATCAGGGTGCAGGCAGCTTCCTTCTTTGCCTCCATGGCGAGCTCCGGTGGGGGTAGCATTGAGACCAGAAGAAAGATAATTTCCCTGCTGTCAGTTCTGGCCTCACAATAACCCCCAGCAGCCAGGAAGAGCAAGTACACAGAAAGTCCTGCTCGGCCACTGTAGCCCACAGCCAGAATCTTTGGAGAATTTAGCTCTGCTGAATTCTAATAAACGTCTACTCATCCTCCTTACAATGAGAGACTCACAGAGCTCAATCTGTTTAGTTTATCAAAAAAGAAGATTGAGAGGTGATTGATTACAGTGTATAAGCACCTTCGTGGGGAGAAAACACCAGGTAGTAAGGGGCTTTCTAATCTAGCAGAGACCGGCAGACCAAAAACCCATAGCTGGAAGCTGAAACCAGACACATTCAAATGAGAAATAAGGCACCAATTTTAAGAGTGAGGGTGATTAACCAAGGTGGAGTCTCCATGATATGTTCAATCAAGACATTTTTCCCAATGCAAGTTACTGAGTTCAGTGCAGGGTGACGTGGGTGAAATGTTCTGGTCTGGCTGGCTTTGAATCTGCACACTGTAATTTACAGAATTTGGCTATATTTGGCTGGATTGTCACAGGAGCAGCAAAAGGCACATCCCGGATATCACAGTGACCCTGCTGCAAAATGTAAAGTCCCTGCTCCAAAGACTGGGGGTGCTAGAGCTTCTTAAAAAAAAAGACTGTAAATATTTTTAAACATGGACAAAACAACATATTTCCCCCTATAATCTCAATCTGGGAAGTGGCTGAATAACTCTATCTGAAATTAAAAAAAAAATTGATCTGAGGCAGACACCAAGCATGGGACATTTCAGCCCAAAGGATTAAAGTTTGGCAAAGTTCTAAGCAATGGGGTGTCACAGGCTGACATTTGTCCTTTAAGAGGAAAAAGGTCAGTGCACCTGTGACTGGTCAGCTGACCCCAATTGGGCTTTAAAAAGGGCAGCTAGGCCTCAGGGAGTCAGCCAGGTGAGAGTTGCCTTGCAGTCTGGTGTGCAATGGGTGAGTGCTGTCTGAGAGCAGGAAACTGAAGGAGGTCTTTGAGGGAAGCTGAAGGCAGGAGAGTAGCAAAGGGTGTTGCCTATTGACTCTAAGCCAGAGAACCAAAGCCATGGGCTGGAGAGGGCAGGGGAGCAGCAGAGGGGCTTACCCACTGATATCTCCATCCAGGGGAGCTGGACACAGGGGACCAGTGAGAGGGCAGGGGAGCAGCAGAGGGGCTTACCCACTGATATCTCCATACAGAGGAGCTGGACACAGGGGACCATAGAGTCCCCATCCTTTAAGTATGACCTACATATTCTTTGTTCCTAGAGGTACAGATTTACATTTAGCCATCTTAAAATGCGTATTGTTTACTTGCACCCAGTTTACCAAGCAATCCAGATGGCGAGGAAAGGCTGGGTTTAGAGATGTTGTGCAGGAACAACCAGAAGATTTAGACACCACCTGCATGTGAGGACGTGGAGAGTCCTGAGTAGAAGAGGACACCCAGGTTAAGGGCCTGATTGACAGAGAGGATATCGTGGTGGTCGTGTACATTGTGATTGAGAAAGGAGGGAGAGAGGAGGGCATGGACGGAAAGATTAAGAGCTCTGTTTTGGCCATGTTGAGCTTCAGCTGAAGCCTGGATGTCCTTGAGAAGATGTCAGAGAGACAGGGCAAGATTTTAGTTTGTCCAGAAAGAGACAAATCCAGAGTATAGAGGGTAAATCTATGAATCAACTGCATATTGGTGATAGTTGAATTTCTGTTTGCAAGTGAGATATTGCTTTTGGTGTTCGTGGGCAATGGAAGTGAAAGCCTTGCCAAGTGTTGGAGTGTTTTCCACACTGCTGTAGGTGACGTGCTGTGGCATGAAATCCAAGAGATGTCTCCCTTATCTTCTGCTGTGAAGGTTTCAGTGGATAGGGTTGTGGTGCAACCTTCACTGTCACTAAATGTTATCATGCTGCCATTTAATGCGTTCAGATGTTTTTCTGAGATGTATCCCATGAACATTGTTTAAAGCAACAATTAGTATTGTTTTACTGGCCTCTGCTTCAGCAGTTTATATTCTCCAGGCTAAAAGGTCATTAACAGAGCCTTCGATACCGCAGCTTTAGTATGTTCTTTGCAAGATAGACTGGAAATGTTCCGACATTAATAATTAAACAAGAGATGCAATTAAGATCTCAAAGGTGCATCAATAAACACAGAAACATTGAAAAGTTTCACAGGTGTCAGATTGCACTACGTGGAACTGAAGGATTTCACAACGCACAAAATGGTAAGAATGAAACTTTCATTTTGAAGCTGTGAATTATTTTCAAATCTTTTTCGTAGTTTTTAATTTTAGACTTTTGCACAAGAAAAGGCTATTTCTGTGACAGAGTGTGCAAAACAAATCAGGACAGTTTACTAAGGGACATCAACAACCAGGGACTAAGCTGCACCTACAAAATTTGTGCATAAATCCATTACACCCAGAAGTCTCACGTTTACCTGTAGAAACAGGAAATTGCATGTGTAACTACTCAGTCACTTGTGCAAGTGCAGATTTCTGCACGCAAATCCAGGATCGTGTGCCCTTTGCAGGTACAGCATCGGTGCTGGAACTAGGGATGCCGGCGGTGCTGCCATACCTCCTGGCTTGAAGTGGTTTCCATTATAGGCAGGGTTTACAGTTTGGTTCAGTGATTCTCAGCACCACCACTATTCAAATTGTCCCAGGACCCCGGTGCTGGCCAATGAAAATGTGACCCTCTTTGCTCCAAGGGGATTATAGTCCCCAAAACTGAGGCAAGCAAACTTAGTGGACATTTGAAAACTTTGCCCCCATGTAAATAGGGCTTCTGAAATAGTAGATTTTAACAACAAATGTGTCTTTCATCTTGAAACAACCATATTCCATTTGCCTGATGCTTTGGTATTTCAAATCAGATTATAAAAGTAACAATAGTATTTCTTGATCTTCTATAGCATGTTCTAGCTGATGTTCTCAAAGCGCCAGATTCTGATCCTTTACTGAGACTGAATGACAGGGGAGTCAGTTGAACTACTCATGGAATGTTTAGACTTTTTTCCCCCCATTCCTGCTGCTTCCAACTCCTCTGGCCTCTCCCTTCCTACGGTCTCATCTTTTGAACAGCACTGCATCTGACACGCCTCTGCCTTCTCCCTCCATGTTGCTGTCATCTACTGTCCATCCACTCCTTCCCATCAGCCTTTCTCTCCTGTCCCAGCTCCTGGCTTCCTCTCCTCGCAATCTCTATCACTCATTCTCTGTCTCTTCAGCTTCCATGTTGATGGCCCACCTGACCCCTTTGTTGCATGTTTCCTCACTCTGACCTCTTCTCTTGACCTGAAGCCCTGCTTCAGTTCTCCCACTCACCAAAATGGCCATTCAATTATTCGATCTTCAGCAAGCACTGCTCTCTCTCTGATTGTTCTATTGCCAAGTCCCCCCTTTCCAACCATCACCTGGTCTCTTTCAGCATCGCCCAGCAGCCCCTATCCCCCATGCCCTGAGACATTACACAAGGTACAATCTGGACTGATGAACAGCTGTGTCCCCTCAATCCTCCAGACTGGGGTGTTTTTC